AAAAATGAAAGTTGGACTCTATTGTCTTCGTGAAGATGCATGTCGATTTAATAAAGTATTAATTTAACTAACACGCTGTACCGATGAACTTGATTCGATCTTTTTTTTTTTTTTCGCGGACCCGCACAGAACTAAAAATAAACAATGGGCCCCAGAGCGTGCCCCACGTCCTTAGATTAACTTGAATAGTAAAACTATTATGGCAACACTATAAGTCCAAAAGCGTGAAAAGAGTCAGCTATGTTTATATTACGAAATCAATTATTTCTCATTATAAAGAATCTTTAATTATTTCCACGATTATGCCGTAGTCTTAAATAATTGTTGTGATCATCAAAGAACGCATGTATTTTATTTTTTCTTTGTAAGACCCAAATTTGTAAAAGAAATGTACTCTAGCACAAAAAAAAGATTTTTTTTTTTTTTTCGATTTCCATTTGTTCCTTCACCGGACTTCGAGATTATCACCGATTGAGATATTGTATATGTATATATAATTGACAACACTATTATTATTGTTATTCGAAACGCCTAACAATTTTTTTAGATTACAAAATAGAAATGTACAAATCACTTTAATATTTTTAATTTGATTCCTATATTTTTTATTGCAACGCTGATTACCCCTGATGCTCAATTCCCACGCGTTCACCTTTTTGTCTTTTTCGGATCTTGGCTGTAAAAAGTAGGAACAGTTAATCATTTGCCCAAAGAAAATGTCGTATGAAGGTGTAATGTTTATTCCGCGAATTCTCAAATTCAGATTGGTTTTACGCAAAGATACACAAGCACATTGTTGAACATACTCATCCCACTGCCACCTCTCAGAAATCATAAAGCGATGTGATCAAGGGATTAATTCGTATTATATTGTCATTACACTGTGTCTCATTCAAGATTGCTGTTATCTTACTGTCTGATTAAAAAGGAGATCACCGCGATCGTACTGTCCCTGAGTCGCGTTTCATAGACTCCCACCAGGATATTCGAAGTCTCAGGCATATACAATAATGCAACTTAGCATTTGTTTTAATCAAATGTTTGCTCACATGAACAAATACGTGAATATTTACCCATATATCTAGTGTGTCATTTGTGCCATAATGTTCTATGGCAACTATCGGTGATTCTACCAATGAAGTAAATTTCTCAATAACGTAATTGGAAGTTTAAGGTTTCTTTCATTCTTTTTTTTTTTTTTTTTTTTAAAAAAAAAAAAAAAAAAAAGTACGATGGACTGTTGACATTTGATTGTGGATAATCAATTGTCTGAGAATTTAGAATCTGCAAAAGAAGTTTTGGCCTTATTTGTCGGAG